TTCTAGAATTGGACAAAATATTTTCAAATTTTAAATTTGGTGACGATCATGTATGCAGAATATAAAACCAAAATCAAACCCAAACCCCTCTCAAGAACAAAAGACCAGGGCTGGGGATGTAGCTCAGCGGCAGAGTGCCTGCCTGGCAAGCACAAGGTTGTGAGTTCAATTCCCGGTACTGGAAAAAAACAGAAAAACAACACAAAACAAAACAAAACAAAAAACCAAAAAGACAAACCAAGCTGGGCATGGTCATGTGCACCTGTGATCCCAGAATTTGATAGGCCGAGGCAGAAGGATTGTGAGTTCAAGGCCATCCTGAGCTACAGAACAGGACCCTGACTCATACAGTGACACCACACCAACAACAAAAGGACACATTATTCAATTCAACAACCTGATGAAAAAATAGGCATGGGACTTGAAATAACATTTCTCCAAAGAGACGTACACATCATACAATATTTCAAGATTCCAGAAATGCATTTGAAAGAATCTAGCATCTATTATTATTACTCTCAAATAGAAAGGAATGTCCTCTGTTAGATAAAGTATATTTACTAAAAACCTAAAGTTGACATCATACATTTGTTTGTTTTTTGAGACAGGGTCTTACTATGTAGTTCAGGCTGGTCTTGAACTCACTATGTAGCTCAGGCTGGCCTCAGACTCAAGGTGATCCTCCTGCCTCGGCCTTCTGAGTAATCAGATTATAAATGTGTGTCATGATTCCTGGCATAACACATCTTAATTCTTTTTATATCACCTTCCCCTCCCTCCCCCATCCAACGCTCCTTCCATTTGCAAAAGATCTATGTTCCTGTTTCCTATTTATCTGTCTTATTTTGCTGTTTAACTTATGTATAGTTTGAGTTTCTCATGTAAGAGAAACCATGCAACGTTTGAGCTTGTGTGTCTGATTTATTTCACTTAACATTATGGTCTCAAGGTGCATCCACTTTCATATGAATGATGCAAATTTATCCTTCTTTGTGGCAGAGTAGTACTCCACTGTGTGTAAATACATTTACTTTATCCATTCATCTGTCAGTGGGTATATAGGGTGCTTCCAAGATGTAACTATTATGACTTGTGCCGCTATGAAGACAGGTATGTCTGTATCACTGTAATGTGATGTTTTTAACTTTTTCAGGACAGTTTCTACATTTTTGCAGTGCTTTTTTTCTCTCACATCCTCTTAATCCTCACATGTTTACATTCAAACAAAATCACTTTTATTATCATTTAGTTTCAGAAGGTCTTGAAGAGAAATGTGCATTTTTTTGTTTGCCATTTTTAATCAGAAGACACTCTAGAAATAATGTAGGTAAGCCAAAGGCGGGAGGAAAAGGAAGCAAACGGTAGTCCATGCACACTGAGTATTGTATTAAAAGTGGTAGTTGCTGCAGTGGATTATAGCTCAGTGATAGACTGTTTGTATGGCCTGCCATCCCCAACACCAAACACACACACACACACACACACACACACACACACACACACACACAGAATCTAGGGCACTTTTTACCTCAAACCCACAATTTAAAGGAGGAGAGGTTTATTTTGGCTCATGATTCAGGCTGTAGTTGGCTGGCTCCATGGCAGAGGAGCATCACAGAGGACAGCTGTTCATGGCATGATGGGGAAGCAAAGAGTGAAGGGAAGAGCCGGGACAGGAGATGGACTCTTTCAGGTCACACCCAGTGACCCAGCTCTTCTGACCAGGTCCAACCACTGAACACCAAGTCAGCTATAAGCCCATAGTCCAGTGACCTTCAGTAGCCTTGCTTATGAACACATGAGGCTTTAGGGGGACATCAAGATCTAAACCGTACCATTTTATACCTAGCCTCCAAAAGGCTTATGTGCATCTCTGCACAAAATGCATTTATCCCATTTCTAAGAGCTGTCAAAAGTCCTAACAGTTTCAGCACTGCTGAAAAATCCAAGCCTAAAGTGAAATTCTTAGATGTGAGTCCCCGTAAAAATAAAAAAGAAAGTTAAACACTGCTGACATACTTGGGCGTGGGGTAAACACTCACATTCCAAAAGGGAGAAATTGGGGCATAGAAATGAATGAGACAAAAGCAAGACCAAAACCCCGCAGGGCAAACATTAAATCCTGTAGTTCCATGTCCACCACCTGGAGCAAGTTGTGAGCCAAGACCTCCAAAGAGCTTGGTTGGCTCCATCTCTGTGGCATTGCTGGTTGTTGCAACCCTCATGGCTTTTCTCTTCAGCTGGCTTTACTCACTCCTTGCAGCTTTCCTCAGATGATCCGTGTTCCTGACTTCTCCAGCTCTCTGGGGTCTCCACTGCACCTTCAGCTTCACTCTCACGGCTGCACACATTGCACTCTCAGAAGAATGGCCTCCCAGGCCTTCTTCTGAAATCTGGGCAGAAGCCTTCCTGACCCCACAACTGTTGCATTCTGCATGCCTGTAAAATGTATCATGTGGTTGGTGCCAAGGGGCAGTAGCCAGGCCCTTTTACATCATGGCAGCAGGAACCTCTGAGTGCCTGGATGACAACACTGCAAACAGAATCCCTGGAAGCCCATGCCTTTTTCCAACAGGGTGCCCAGGAGCTCTTAAAGCAAAGTCTTTGACTTTTCTACTCTTAACTCTGCAAAGGGTGGTATCGTTCAGATTCCACCCATGCCCTCAAGGCGTCTGTTGTAGTCTGATATAAAGTACTTGGCTTCTCTTAATGCTAATCTTTTCAGCAACCAAGCTCTCCTCTGCTCCAACTTTATTGGCACAAGCTGTACAGGAGCTGCTTTTTTCCATGAAATTTAAAACTTTTTAAATCACCTGACTATTTTGTTTGCTCTTGATTCTCAATGCAGAGCTGGCTAAAAGCTCCCAATAGAATTGGTGGTACAGCCTGAAAGTGGGGCTACCTTGAAATTTCTTCTGCCAGATTAATTACTCTTCTGTCCTTAGTCTCAGTCTCCTGCAAAGTCTTAGGGCATGAGAAAAATGAAGATCAATTTTTCCATTGAAGTATAATGCAGATGGCCTGGAGTCCAGCTGCCAATACAGTCCTTGTTTGCAGCTGAAACCTCCTGACCCTGATCTTTATTATCTGCATTACTATCACATTTGGTCTTCTAAGCTCCAACCAGAATCTCCCACCAAACTTTTCTCACAGCATTCTACAGCTGCTTTTCCAGCCAGCACTTCCAAACCTTTCCAAATTTGTCCTGCAAATCAGTGTTAAAGGCTTCTGAATCACATGGTCAAGTATAGTCACAGTGAGGACCCCCTTTCTCTGCTACCAGAATCTGCCTTAGTCACTTTCTTTGCTGCTGGGACGAAATACCCGACACTCAAAACTTATGGAAGGAAAGGTTTATTTTGGTTCACAATTTGTAGAGCTTTCAGTCCATAGTATGCTGGCTCCAAGGCCGAACCACACAGTAGAAAGGCCTAGGTGCAGGAAAGCTGCTCATAGCAGGCAGACAGGAAGCAGTGAGTGAGAGGGAGGAGCTGGGTAAGGAGATAAATCCTTCCAGGCCACCCACTGACCCATCTCTTCTAGCCGGCCCGCTTCCCCACAGCAAGTCGATTATAAGCCTCCTTTCAAAGGCCCTGCCAGTAAGTGCCTGAGGCTTGTGGGATACATCAGTTATACACCATCTCTCTTCCACAACACACCCCAAACAACAACAAAAACTAAGCCAGGTGTCCATCACACCTGTAATCCCAGCTATTAGGATGGCTGAGGTAGGAGGACCACATCTTTCAGGCCATCTTGAGCAACTTAGTGAGCCTGTGTCTCAGAATAAATTTCAAAAGAGCTGGAGGTATAGCTCAGTGATAAAACACCTGCCTTCCATGGGATGCGTCCTGTGTCCATCCACAGGATTGAGAGAGACAGAGAGACAGAGACAGAGAAAAAGTGTAGTTTTTGCGAACTTTTTAATGAGAAAACTTGTTTTGGAATGTTGATTTTTAAAGTGTTACAGGACTGAGTGCATAGAATGATTTGAAAAACTTTTAAAGTGTTCAAAGGCTGGGATGTCACTCAGTGGCAGAGCTGCGTGAGGCCCTGGGTTGGAGCCTTAAATATTCATGGAAAAGGTGTGAATAAAAAGAACTACTTACAGTTCATGACTAATGGATGGGATTATGGAGGATTTTATTTCTGTAATTTGTAAGTTTTTGTAATATGTAAGTAGGATCTTTTCTTATCATTCATTAAATTATGCAATAACACACAATCCTTGAAGACAGATAAACAGAAGCCACTCACGTTCTTGCCCGTCCTATTAACATGCTGCTATTTTTTCCCAAGTAGATTTGCGTGCTGTTTGATCGTGAAAACAACCCTAGTCTTCCTCTTTGCCCCTGAAGAGTCCCCAGTGGGCTTCACAAAGTGACTGCTAACCACTGTTAACCACCTAAGGAAAAGGCGCTCCTGGGAGTCGCCCAGCTCTCACCTAGGTCTACAGCAAGGGATGATTTACTAGATTTGCTAATTAGCAGCTTCATAGGAATTCCCTGGGAGCAGGAATGGCCGAGGAGCCGCGGGTGGGGGTGGGTAGGAGGGTGGGAAGGGAGGATGCTGGTGGCCTTAGGGGGCTCCTGCGGGGAGCGTTGCCAACATCTATCTGCCTGCTTTGCTCAAGGTCGCCCTGCACAAAAGCACACACACGTGGTATGGCTGCCACAGGTCAGCGCCTCGAGCCTTGTCACTGGCTTCGAGGAAGCAGTCTCCTCGGTTCACAGCGAAATGTGCATTTAGGTTCGCTGGCTGGCTGCTGTGCGGGTATTTAAACAGCGACCTTTAGACTGCCTTCCCCACCTCTGCCTGGGCCCGTGGCAGCCCAGGAACACACATGTTTGCTGTCCCTGTGCATTTTAAAGATGCCTCTGGCCCCTGCAGGAAGATCTCCACCAAGCCATTTCAAGGCCCCTTCGGAAGCAGATCGTTTCCTAGTGCATTTTATTTTTTTACTAAGGGGTTATTAACTCCTTTCTTTTCTTTTGACTTAGAACACTGAAGAGCACCCTAACTTTACAAGCCTGCTCCTTCATAAACAATTCAGTTAGGTGGACCTGGCTGGGTGAGGTTCGGTCATTCAAAAGGTAATGAGTCTCCCGGCTTCCCAGAGTCTCTCATCTGCATTTCTGTGTGCTATCTCTTCCTTTCTCTGGCGTCATTTTCTTTCTTTTCTCACTTTTTGTTAGCCTGCTGATCAAAACAGTCTGCCTGTTTGGGGAAAGAAGAGGTGGTTGGATTGAGAGTGGCCATTCAAGTGAGAAAACAACAGAAAAACTTCCCGCCATCATTATGTAATCTCAGCTACCTAATTTCGCTTTTTAAGATCCTATCTAAATGAATTACTATCAGCAACATTGTAAAAAGAATTACAGTTAGAGACAGACGATAAAGGTAATCCCTTCATGGTTGACAATGGGTCTCTTTTGCATAAATTGAAAACAATCATTAACATCAATTTAAATGCTTATTTACTTTATCATGGGTGACCTTTGAGGAAAGGTATGTTGAGGAAATTAAGCCCGGAAATTGGGCTGCCAGCCTTTTTAAGAGATGAATTTTAAATAAATGGCTCAGTTGATTGAGGAACTGACTGTCCTACAAACCTTAATCATTCAGTAACTGTTTCAACTTTTAAAAAACATGACCATCATGGCTATTTGACGTTTGGGGCTGGAGAAGAGGTAGGCAGTACTTAGCATTCTTGTAGGTGAGCAAGTGTCAAGGCATTAATTTAGAAAGACTGCTGGACTGAAGGGTCAATGTTTGTCATAAAACAGGAGATGGAGAGGACTTCCCTTTGTGTTTTAAAGAAAGGCGATAATAGTGCTTGCTTAAAGTTTCAGTCCTTAGTGATCCTATCTAGGTATTAAACAGACTAGGAAACAAAGCTTCCTACATGTCAGGTATTGTTCTCAGGTTTTACATATATGAAGCAACACCTGTTCAGGACAACACACTGAGGTTAATATGATTACACAACTGTTATAGGCAGCTGAGTTAGATAGAAATATAGGCAGTCAGACAGGGCCAGGCCCTGGAAGGAGCCAACATGAATGATGCGTATTTGCTGTGGGCCAGACCTCAAGACAAAGGACTAAGCAAATACACCTACATACCTGCCTAGGGGTGGACATCAGGGATTGATATTCTGAATAGGTAGCAGTCACCTTGAAGAGTCCCTGACCCAACCCCTCACAGGAAAAGCCCCTGTTCTGTGTTCATGCCCGCTTGCTATGTGACTCGCTTCCCCATTTGATCCCAACTTAATCAATTTTACCTGAACAATTCCTATTGGCTGACCATAGTTTTGTCCATTCTTCCCTACCTTGGACCCACCTCACCTCGTGGTTTTGCTCTGTAAAAGTCCCTAGAAAAGACAGTCTTGGGGTAACTCTCTCTTCGACAGAAGCTTTCTTTCCCTCAATAAATATATTCTGCTCTTAATCTCCATTGTTCCTAAAATTCATTCTTCGATTATAGAGAACACGAACTCGGCCCAGATATCATTCAAGTTGGGAGTTTTTATTTTCCTGTATCAACCCCTATGTATTTATTTGAGACAGGGTCTCACTACTTAGTTCAGACTAGCCTTGAACTCAGGGTGATCCTCCTGCCTCAGCCTCCAGAGTGCTGGGATTATGCGTGCGTGCTACCACATCCTCCACGCACTTTTATAAAATAATACACTTTTACTTTTTAAGGAGTTTTAAATTAACCGCAAAATTGAGGAAAAAAGATGGAGTTCCTATACCCCCCTCCTCATATACACATACAACCTCCCCCACCAACATTTACTACCAATGAGACAGGAGATGAGGGTGTGGCAAAGCTGGCTGGGGAAGTGGGCGAGGCTTGTTAACTTCCTGCATGCGGACTTCTGGTGAGAGCTCCAGCAGGTTTTCAATAGGATGCGAGGACCTGACAATCTCAGCATTGCCCCCCAGGACCCCTATGAAGAAGGTCTCATGGGTCTCCTTGAGATTTGGCTGGCATAAAAGGACACAGATGCCACAAGCAGCTTGCTATCGTGGCTTTCCTCATGGTAGCTCACGGTTTTCCAGGGTGTACTTTCATGTTGCTTTTTGCTCGGCTGAAGCTCATTCTGCAGAGGCAGTTTCTCCCTCACTCTTCACTGTTACTTTTTCAAAAAACTTTGTCACTGATTATTGCTCATTTCATTCAATTCTTTGTTCCAGATGAGAAGAACCTGTAATCTCACTCCAGAAGGAGACATGAGCACCAAAAAACTCAGGAACGTTCATTTGGTGAGCCACTTGTAGAAGCAGACTACACGGGAAGACAGGACAGTAAGCTTGGTTCAGTCTGAACCTACATGGCCCCATCATTGTCTCCAGAGTCAGAGTTTACAGTGAGTTCCCTCTTGGCATGCACTACTCGATGGGTTTTGGCAGACACGTAGTGATGCATGTTTACTACTGTAGTATCACACGGGGCAGTTCACTGCCCTACAGGTACTCTGTGCTCTACCTGTTTAGCCCTGTCTCCCTCAACCTCAGGCAGCTGCTGGTCTTTTTACTGTCTATTTTGCCTTTTGTTCAATGTCAAGTAATTGTTAGTGGGGGTTTTAGGGTGTTACGGGCTCCTAGAGATTCTTGTTGTCGTGAACAAAGAATTGGACAAGTGAAAAAAGGAGTGAGAGTTTACATTTATTAAAGGTAGGGAAAGAAGTATGCTCTGCAGAGAAAGAGAGGCCACACTGACTATGAGATTAATGCCACTGGGCCTTTTGTACCACCACTCCCCCAGTCCTCAGGCTGACATCAGAGTGAGGTGAGGCCATCCTATCAAAGCCCTGCTTAAGAGCTGGGCATTACACTTGTAATCCCAGCACTCGGGAGGCTAAGGCAAGATGATCACTGCAAGTTCAAGACCAGCATGGGCTACAAAATGTGCTCAAGGCCAGCCTGAACTGCCTAACAAGACCCTGTCTCAAAAAGACAAAAAACAAACAAACAAATAAAAAGCCTGCTTAATTTTGCACCAGAAGAACTGAAGATAGCGCTTTCTGATTGGCTCCAGGTGCAGGGCCCAGGAACTCTTTTTCTGCCATGTGTCCTGGATCTCAGTGATTGACAGGTTGTACCCACTTACCCAGATGGCTGGCCATGCCCTAATCTCCTGCCTCAGAACCATACAGCATGGAATCCTTCAGATGGGCTTGTTTTGCTTAGTAATATGCATTTAAGTTTCCTCTGTGTCTTTTTGGGGGCTTGATAGCTTTTTTTTAAAGCTCTGAATAATATCCCATCATCTACATGTGCTACAGTTTAATATTCCCTACTAGAGGACATCTTGGATATTTCCAAGCTTTGGCATTATGAATACAGACTGCTATAAACATCCATGTGCAGGGGTTTGAATGGTGTTTGCAGTTCATTTGGTTAAATTCCAAGGAGCACACTTGCTGGATAAGTCTTTAGTTTTTAAGAAACCACCAGGCTCTCAAGTAGTTGATCCACTCTGTGACCACCCAGCAGGGAGCAGGAGCCTCTGCTGCTCCCCACCCTCACCAGTACTGGCCATTGTCTGAGTCTTGGACACTGGCCATTCCAATAGGCATGCAGTATCTCCTTTTTGTTTTAATGTGCAATTCTCTATTTTTTCTTTTTTCTTTTTGGTAGCAGGAATTGAACTCAGGATCTTGCGCTTGCCAGGCAGGCGCTTGTGCCGCTGAGCTCTATCCTCGGCTAATGTGCAATTCTCTAGTAACGTGATGTGAACGTCTTTTTCTCTGCATACTCACCATCTTCACATCATAATTACTCAGGGGTCTGTTCAGCCTCTCTGCTTTTTCTTGTTGCCAGGGCAGGGGTTGAGTCCATAGCCTGCCACCTGCCTGGCAGGTGCTCTACCACTGAGCAACAAACCCAGCCCTGTGCATTTTTAAAATCAGGTTGCTCCTTTTCTTATTGTACTCCTTCAGAGTTCTTGGTATATTTTGGACAACAGTCCTCGATCATATTTGCCTTATGCAAATATTTCCTCCCAGTCTGTAGCTTACCTTATTCTCTTGATGTTGTCTTTCATGGAGCAGAAGTCTTTAATCTTAATAAAGTCCAACTCATCAACTATTTCTACCACAGACCAGACATTTAGTTTGTATCTGAAAAGTTATCACCATATCTGAGGTCATATAGTATTCCCCTAAGTTATCTTTTAAGGGTTTGGTAGTTTTGTGCTTTACATTTAGGCCTAGAATCCATTTTGAGAGAATTTTTTTGAAAGGGCATAAGGTTGGTGTCTAGAATTATTTATTTATTTGTTTTGCATGTGGATGGCGGCTTTTTCTAATGTCATAGCTTACTTCCCTCCCTTTACTGCCTTCATCCCTGGTCAAAGATCAGCTCGCTAGACTGGGTCTGATTCTGGGCTCTCTCTTCTTTCCCATTGACCTGTCTGTCTGTCTTCTCATCAGTGCCATGCTGTGTTGATTCCTGCAGCTCTACTGATGTCTTCAAGTCAGGTGGAATCAGTTCTTGGCATCGGTCCTTCTTCAGGGGGGCCTTCTGGATCTTTAGTCTCACCCTATAAACTCTGGAATCATCTGGTTGATATACACAAAGAAGTTCCTGGGGTTTTTGGAGGGATGGGTTGAGTCCATAGATGAATTTGGGAAGAACAGACATCTTGATAATATTGATCTCCTTATCCGTGAACACAGGATATCTTTCCATGGATTGTTTTTCTTTGATATACTCCATCAGAGTGTTGGCATTTTCTTCATATACCTCTTGTACATATTTTGTGAGGTTTATACCTGAGTATTTATTTTGGGAAATGCTAATGTAAATTGTAATGTACTTTTAATGGCAAAGGCCACTTGCTCATTGCTGGTAAATAGAGAAGTAATTGATTTTCATATATTAACCTGATGTCCCACAACCTTGCTGTAATTGCTTATTCATTCCAGGAGTTTTTGTTTATTTGTCTATTCTTTTGGAGTGTTCTACATAGCTATAATGGTTGATACATTGTGTCAACTTGAGAGGTTTAGAAGTTTAATTAAGCAGGGGGCAAGGGTCCTCATTTTGTAAACATCCTGAGCCTGTGCAAGAGGTGGGCAGGGGGATGGTGTGAATGCTGCACCCACCCTAGGGCAGGTGGCCTGCTTACAATATAAGTGAGGAAAAGAGGCTTGTACTCCGCTTTTGCTGTTGCTTTTGCTGCCTTCTGTTGCCATGAGCAGTTGCCCCTCACCACTCTGCCTTGGAGCCAGCTGATTATGGACTGAAACCTCCACAATCTGTGGGCTAAATAAACCTTTCCTTCCTTAATTTTGGGTATTTTGTCCCAGCAATGAGAGAAAAGTAACTAAGACAATAGTCAGTCTTGTCATCTGTGAGCAGTTTTATTTCCTCTGTTCAATTTACATACTTTTTATTTCCTTTTTTTGTCTTAACACATTAAAAAAGAAGGAGAGGGGGACATCTTTGCATTTTTCTCTCCCCAGTACTGGGACTGAGTGGAGGCCTCTCACACTGACCTATATCCCCAGCCTTTTCTAGGAGGCGGGTCTTGCTAAGTTGCCTAGGTGGGACTCAAACTTTAGATCCTCCTGCCTCAGCCTCCCAAGTTGATGACAGGTGAGCACCACCATGCCTGGCTGTTTATTTCTTCTTGTTTGAGTTTTGGCCATCTGTGTTGGTTTAGTCAGCTTCCTGTTGCTGAAACAAAATACCCAACACCCACGATTTAAGGCAGGATGGCTTTGGCTCGTGGTTTTTAGGTGATTGGCTGCAGCTCAGGCAGCCGTGGTGGGAGGGTCTGGTGCCGAAAAGCTGCTCACATCATGGCGGCCAGGGAGTAGTGAGTAAAGACAGGGAGGGAGGCACACCCTGCCGGGTCCCACCAGAGACCTCCTCTTCCAACAGCCCCTCCTCCTAGCAGCACACTGAGCTATAATCCACTCCTTGTTACAGTGCCTCCTCGTTCCAGCTACCTTTTAGACACGTGAGGCTTCTGAGGGATACCCCAGATTGCAGCTGTAATGCATCTCTCAACAAATTATTCTGCTTCATTTGTGTTATCAAAACTGTGGGCACAGAGTTGCTTATAGCACGCCTCTGTTATCTTGGGTGTAGACTCTCTAGTGGTGTCCCCTCTTTTATGTCTATTAGTAATTGGTGTCTTCTTTCTTTCATAGGTAGCCTGGCAGGAAGATCATCATTTCTACGCATCTTTTCAAAGAATCACATTTTTGGTTTGTTGATTTTCCATACTGATTTTGTTTCATTGATTGCTGCTCTAATTTTTAGGATTTGTTTTCATCTACTTGCTGTGAGCTTAAATTCTCTTTGTTGTGAGGGGTAAGATGGTAAAAGGGGGCTGGAGCTTGGAATTTCCTTTCCCCCCATGGAGGGTGAGAGGAAGTTGGAGTTGAGTCTCCATTCCCCAGGTAGAGCAGGCTGGGATAAAACCCCAGCAGGCAAAAGCACCGGTGAAAGTGTCTGCTCTGCGTGGCCTATGAGGAGCAGAGAGCCCTGGCACTTCTCAAGGTGTCCTTTTGCTTTTATTATTGGAAGCCCAAGGGAATTTCGCTCAGTATTCCTGCTGACGACGTGGTTGACTCCTGGAGGTAAAATCCACAGAATATGGTGGCCTTTCTGAATGCCCTGCCCCCAAGATTGATCGCTGAGCTGTCCACACTGAGCCCCGAGAAATTTTCAGTTACTGTTCAGGCTTTCCCTCCTTTGCACTGGTTCTTGCAGATTTCTGCTCATGGGCTTCCTTTTCAGTAGGTTCTGATTTTCTGTATCTCTGATTCTCCTGTTTTTTGAGGTGGGGGTGGGGCATAGTGGGGGGAGTAGCGATTTGCCCTGAGAGGTCAGTCCTCTGACAGATATAACAGTAGTTGTTCTCATCATGGCTACATCTGGGAAGTAGCCTATGTGTCCATCAGCAGATGAACTGATAAATAAATTGTGTTTACTCACAGTGGAGTACCACTTTGCTGCAAAGAAGGATAAACTTGAGGTATTTACAGAAGAATGGATGCATCTTGGGACCATATTGTTAAGTGACATAAATCAGACACACAAACTTAAATTGCACATGGTTCCTCTTATATGAGAAACCTAAAGTATAAATAAAGAGAAACATAAAAGATGGATCATAGGAAGTAGGGAGACATCTTCCTCAAAGGGGAATGAATCAAGAGATGGAGGGAGGGGAGAGGGAGGGAAGGGAGAGGAAGAAGAAAAAAGAATTAAGATGAATCATGACCGTGCACTGACTCCCCATGAGGAATGTGATCATTATGTACTGCAAACATGGGCTAATAAAAATCTGAAAGAAAATGAAAAGGAAGAATTGTTGATTTTTCAGTTTGTTTGGGATTTTATTATTCAGATGGAGTGGCAACTTTCAAGTTCCTGGTAGGCTGGACTGGGAACTTCCTGTCTACCACTGCTTTACACATAGGGAGGGAAGCAGAGATACAGCTACTGATTTGCTCAGGGGCCTGCTGTGCAAGACTGTGGTGGAGTCTGGTGATGCAGGGGGCAAAATAATTTACCAAGCCCAGAGTAAAGAAAGAGATGGTTTACGATACACTGCAAGGGAGTGTGGGCAAAATAAGGAAGAGCTGCTCACAGGAGCAGGGGCAGTGTCACTTTTATGTTGTTATTTTTGCAGCACTAGGAGGTTGTACCTAAGGCTTCTGCTCTGAGCTTCATCTACAGCACATTTTTAATTTTGAGACAAGTTCTTGCTAACTTACTAAGTTGTCCCACCTGGGTTCAAACTTGTGATCCTCCTGCCTCAGTCTCCCAGAGTGCTGGCATTGCAGGAGGTGGAAATCCTCCCTGGCAGTCCTCGCCGTGTCTGGCTTGTGGTGCTGGTTTTAAAGGGAAGAGTGCAGGTGGAAGGAGTAGCTTGGACCGACACACATGGGGAAAACGCTGATAGGGTTGGACCATGTGCCGTCTCCATTGGGCAGGTGGTGCAGGCCATGGCTACAGTAAGACGCAGGCCAGGGGTGTGGGGAAATGCACTGGTCATGCTATTTCAGGGAGGAAGAGTACATTCCTGAGACAGCTGGTTTTGCACAGAGCACAGGACTCCAGTGTAGGGCCAGGCGGAGGTGGAAATCATCGCCTGCTTGCTCAGTGCTCCGTTTGGAAGCTGCAGAACCAGGATTTGGATCCAGGTGTTCTGGGCCAGTTGAACGTTAACCAATACACCATGGAGCAGAGTAACAACCTGGGATGTTTCAGGGCAGAGGTGGGAAGTGGGTGGAGGAACAGGTTTTCTTACTTTGAGATGTTTCATTTCAAAAATTTTGCAGGGGCAAGGGTGTAACTCAGGGTTAGAGCACTTGCCTGGCAAGAGGGAGGCCTGAACTTTGATTTCCACCACCACATGAAAAGTTAAATATTTAATAAAGGAACATGCCTATGCCTGGAAGTGTTGGTGTGAAAATAATAATCACAAAAACTTGAAGTATACACAAGTAAACATTAGAGTAAAAAAAAAAAAGTTACTCTTAGACCAACCATATCTACATATGACATTTCAGTCCTGGTCTGTCTGTGTGAATATTATGTACGTGTATTGCATATGTATTAAACTTTTTCACTTAACATTGCACTGTGGGTATTTTTCTATGTTTCTGTATTTCTTTTTTTATTCGAATGATATTTAGTGGTATAAATTAAGCTGTATAACAGTCTACCTTGCTGATATGCTATAAGTTACAAATTGCTATAAATGCTATAAATTACATTATTTGAACTTGACAGTTAATGTTTTCTTTTACAATGATAATTTCCCCAGTTGTTTTTTTCTATTGAGTGGGCTTCATTCACTTCCACCAATATGCCTAATAGGTCAGTGTCTATGGGTTGATGTATAAATATTACTAATTATTTGTCCTATTAGTTTTGAGAATGATTATACCAATTTTCTGGACTTTCAGCACTGGAAACCTAGTGTGGGCGCATGCACGCAGGTTGTGTGTGTGTGTGTGTGCATGCATGCATGCACGTGTGATTATTCAGATCTAAAATGTCCCCCGAGTCTCATGCATTCAGAAGCGGGGCTTTTATTTGTTATTTTAAAAAAATTTTTATTTTTTTGGGTTTTTTTTCTGGTACCGGGAATCAAACTCATGACCTTGCGCTTGCCAGGCAGGCACTGTTCCACTGAGCTAAATCCCCAGCCCCCAGAAGTGGGGCTTTTAAAAGGTGATTGGATCATGGGGGTTCTGTATTCATCAGTGGATTAATCCAACTGATGATTTCTTGAGTTATTAGGTGGAGGGGCCTGGTTGGAAGAGGTGGGCCACTGGGGGTGTGCACTGGAAGAATATATTCTTATTTCTGGATCCTTCCTTCCCTCTGCTTCCTTGCTGTCATGAGTTGAGCAGCTTCTCTCATGCTATTTCTGCCTTGGAGTCAGCCAATTGTGTTTAGCCAGAACTCCATGAAACCATGAGTCAAATAAACCTCTCCTTTTTTTTTTTGAGACAGGGTCTCACTATGCAGTTCAGGCTGGCCTTGAGCTCACTTTGTAGCCCAAGCTGATCTCAAACTCACAACAATCCTCCTGCCTCAGCTTCCCGAGTGCTGGGATTACAGGCATGTGCCACCACGCCTGGCTCTCAAACCTCTCCTTTTTAAGTTGTAGGTGTCAGGCATTTTGTGCCAGTGATAAAAAAGTGAATAATACAAAAAATTAGTACTAGGAGTCGGGTCATTACCATAACCATACCTGACTGTGGTTCAAAAGCCTTTGGAACTGGTTTGCAGTAGGAGTTTGGAATGGTTTGGAGATGCAGGCTATAAAAGTCCTAGATGCTATACACAGAACTTGATAAGTAATACTTGTTGAACTCAAAAGAGCAGTATACTTACAGGAATGTGGACAGTAACGGCCAGTGTCAGAAAGTTTTAGATAGGAACAATATTGTATTGGAAAGTGGACTAAAGGCCATGAATGCTACATTCTGGCAAAAATAAAATTACCTATATTTCCCCCTTGTCCTAAGAGTTTCTATGAAGCTAAATTTAAGGGTGGCATACTAATTAATCTGGTAGAGGAGATTTCAAGGCAGTCCAATGTTCAGGTTGTGGCTTGGGTACTGCTGGCTGCTTTTAGCCAGATCTACATGGAGAATCAAGAGCAAAAAGCAGAGCTGAGTCATTTTAAAAATTTGCAGCTTGGGCAGCAAGGAAGTACTTATAAACTTGGAGCAAGGAGAACATGGTTGCTAAAAAGATTAGAGTCATTAAAAGGAAACCGAATACTTTACATTAGGACAATTAAAAAGATGCCTTATGGGCACCTCAGGAATTAGCCAGACCTCACCCTTCACAGGCAAGGGTAAACAGGTAAGCTGCCTTAAAAGACTGCTTTGAGAAAAGAACCCCAGGACACCCTGCTCATTCAGGGCCACCCGGGGAAGTGTTTCCCTGTGTTCAGCCATCCAGGCACTCAGAGGCCACTGTAACCATGGACCTAGAGATTCTAACTACTGTTTAAATTGGCAGCCAACCTTGATGTCGTCCACATAGTGCTGGTTTTATGGGTATGGGTATGCAGGATGTAAGAGTTATAGGTCATGGAGGCTTCCACTCAGATTTCAAAGAAAGGCCTGGGAGGTTAGGAAACAAGCCCAAGAGGGTGTTACATAAAGCTGTAAAAATAAAGCCAGAGTTGCAATGGAGACATGAGGCAGTTGGGGATGACAGGAATATAGAACATCAGAGGAAAGCCTCAGGAAGTAAGCAGAGCCAGCCCAAGAGAGAGGTTATGTGGGCTGCGGTCAGCAAGGCTGCCTAAGCCATTTGGAGCTCACATCTTTCTAGACCCTGCCCGGGTGCTGGACATAGAGCTACAGGATTTAACGTTTGCTCTGCTGGGCTTTGGTCTTACGTTGGTTCAGTTCCTTTCTTTTCCCTTAATCCTCCGTTTTAGAATAGGAATATTTACCCTGTACCATGGTATGTACAATGGTGTGTTAAAAGTGTTTAACTTATTTCTTGATTTTTACAGAGGTTCACAGCTAAGAGTTTGCCTTAAGTCTGAGATGAGACTTTGGTCTTAGACTTTCAAGTGTTAGAACAGTTAAGACTTTAAAGCCTCTTAGGGAGGGACATAAGGCTTTTGCGGGCTGCAGCAGAAAGTTATGGTTTGTGTCTAAACTGTCCCCCCAAAGTCTCATGTGTTCAGAAGCAGGGCTTTTGACAGGTTGTTGGGTCATGCAGGTGCTATACTCATCATGGGTTAATCCAGTTGATGAGTTCTTGAGCTGTTAGGAGGTGGGGCCTGGTTGGAAGAGGCTGATTACTGGGGGCATGACCTGAAAGGGTGCCCTCTTGTTCCTGATTCCTCCCTTTTCTGCTTCCTGGCTGCTATGGGTGAGCAGTTTTCCTCTATCACACCCTTCCACCATGCCATTTCTGCCGTGGAGACAACCATTGACTAAACCCTCTGAAATGGTGAGCCAGATAAACCTCTCCTCCTTAAGTTGCAGATGTTTATTTTGTGCCAGGGATGGGAAAGTGATGTGTGTGTGTTTGTGAGTGTGTGTATGTATGTGTTTCTTGTCAATAAATACCAAAATATTCTAAAATAAGACACAGAACTTGGTTGGGGTCATATCCTAGTGGCAGAGCACTTGCTGGGGCTCTTTTCAGATTTTCAGTGTACGTATGTAGGTTTGCATATAAGAGGCATTTTAGAGAATGAATGAATGTTTAACAGCTGGACCAGTAGATGACAGAAAAGATTCTTACAAATTAGCACTCAAAAAGTTACTGACAACATTAAGGTGATATTCTGACTTGTAATCTAGAGCTCTTTCTTTTATCATAACTCTAGTTTTCCTTCATTCAGCCAATATTTATGGAAAATTTAGTCTGCGTAGCACAGCGGCTAGGTGCCAGGGTACCACTGTTGATAAGAGTATAGTTCTACCTATAAGGCTCCGATTGGACCCTACCTTCCCAGACCCTAACCTGCCTGCCAGCAGAGGCACTATTCTCAGCAGAGAACTCAGCTCAGCACCAAGCTGCCATTTGAAGACACAGGATAAGATGGGACAAGAGATAAGATGGGACAAGGAATCTTGCAGGACCTGGAACATCTAGGAACATCTGAGGACATCGGGAGCTACCCAAAAATTTACACCGGACACTTCAAGGACTTTGCCCACTGAGGTGCAAGAGTGTCAGAGAACTCTGACTGCAGATTTCTATTAAAATCTTCCCACCTAATGTGCCTTGCCCTCTTTCAATCCCTATAAAAGAGGGCCACTTGTTTTTGTTCCTTTCAGAAGACTTTTTTGCCCTCTGTCTGCCTGCACCCAGCACAACAAATTCCACGCTGTGTTGCCTTTACACAAGCCTGAGGGTCTCTGCTGGTCTCTGCCCCTTGCATTGTTTGTTACGCTACCCAGGAAGGACCTCACAGTGTGTCTGAGAAACTCACATATGTCTCTTGATGAAAGTCTCATTCATAAAATAAAAATACTGACCTCAGAAATCTCTTTTAGCTCCTGGATTCTGTGATCTTATAAAACCCTGAATCTCCCACGTATCCCCATGAAGGTTGGGATAAGCTTATTTTAAAGATCAACCTAATGTAGGTGTGATTCAGAATGAAGATAGGAAATACCTCTCTTTTTACCCCCTTTCATCTTCATTCACTTATTTATTCATTCATCATTCCTTGGGAATATACTAAGCATCAGACACCATGAAATGCTGAGAACGAAAATATTTTTCTTCTCATAAAAAAGTCTATGAAGTTTTTAAGCAGACCACTGCTTGCAAAGTTTATGTGAATGTGGTGCAGTGTGACCAGTACTCTAGCTAGAACTTAACAGGTTGGTCCCCACTATTAAAGAACAGGAAGAAATCGGCTAAAGTTGAGTTGAGCTTACCCTGCAAATGCTCGAAAAGTAAGGGAGAAGGTTCCTCAATTCTGAAGCTTTATCATGGGACAGAACCTTTTATCATACTTGCCCACATCAAGATGAAAGGGGAAGAATGCAGGTGGACTCACCATCTCTCCTCTTCTACTTGGACTCCCACGGACTGGAACTTACTGGGGGCTTTATTCTCTCCCGTTTTGTCAGGTTCTTCAGCATCATCCACCTGAAGAAATCATCAAACAGGGTTTTCCATTTAGGCACCTCACATGAGAAAAGCAAAGCCATTTCTGCAGTTTTCTGGCATGTTCTGTAACTTGTAACCTCTTTGTTCAATATTCGTGTGTTTGATGAAGTCCCCTACCATCTTATGAGCATGCTCTTTGACTCTGTTGATCTAAATGCAGTTTTATTTACTCTTGAGCTGGCTGATAAATGTCTATGATTCCTCCATAGATTTGCAAATACAGTCTTGCCTCAGGACCCACAGGGATTGCCTCCAGGGCCCCACAGATAGCCAGCTCCACAGATGTTTGAGTTTCTCATATAAAATAGCACAGTATTTGCATATAAGCTACATATATCCTCCTGTGTACTGTAGGTCATCTTAGATCACTTATAATGTTTAACCCAATGTAAATGTTATGCATGAAGGTGAGATAAAAATACAATGGATGCTTAATTTTTAAACAGATTTTATTACACTACAAGACATGGTCATGAATCCCCCTCAAGATATGCTCCCTGGCTTCAAACACACTGATCCCACCCTTCTTGTCACTTTCTGAAGCAGTTCTGGAAGTCCTCTTTTGTGAGTATTGTTAGTTGTACTGTTGTGGCTGCTTCAATGTCCTGAATCAATTCAAAATGCTTACCATTTGTGGTCTTTTTGACTTTGGGGAGGGGCCCAAAGTCCCACAGTGCAAGATTCCATGAATGAGGGGGACGAGGAGGCACTGTGATGTTTTATGAACCTGCCTTTCTGTTGGAGGGCACTCCACAGCAGTGGCCACTGTTGGTTTTTTTTTTTTTTTTGTCTTTTTGAGACAGGGTCTTGCTATGCAGTTCAGGCTGGTCTTGAGCTTACTCTGTAGCCCAGGCTGACCTCAAGCTCACAATGATCCTCCTGCCTCAGCCTCCTGAGTGCTGGGATTACAGGTGTGCGCCACTACACCCAGCTGTATTTTTGATCACACTTCATAAAGACACTCAGGAAAGAGGGCTCCAGAACTGCTTCTGAAAGTGGCAAAAACCATGGGATAAGTGTGTTTGAGTGAAGGGCGATTCAAGGGGGATTAATGTAATAAAATTTTTCATTTAAACATTCAGCATATACAGTATTTCCTAATGATACCTGATCAATAGTAATTCTACTGTATTGTTTAGGAAATAACGAAAGGAAAACAGGCTGTACATGTTCAATGCAGATGCAATTTTAAAAATTATATTTTTGATCCATGTTTGGTTGAATGTGTGCGTCCAGAACCGCGGGAGAAGAGGGCACTGCATGTCACTGTTGTGAGTGCGATTTTAGAAGAGGGCTCCATGAGGAGTGTCTTCCTGGAGGTTCTGTGTTAACAGATTAAGCACCAGAACAAAGAAGGTGAATTTACTTATTATAGTTACAGTTGTGGGTCCTGGAAGATGTATGTAGTGCTGATATGAGGAGATTTACATATTAACATTAGGATAGACTATAGACTTTGTTTTTCTCCTTTCATACTAAAGAATTGGCTTTGGGGGCTGGGGATTTAGCTCACTGGCACAGTGCCTGCTTGGCAAGCACGAGGTTGTGAGTTCAATTCCTGGTACTGGAAAGAAAACCAAAAAAAGAAAAAAAGAATTGGCTTTGAAATCTGTCATCAGTGTGTCAATAATTATGTATTAGAGCCCAGAGGGAAAAAGTTCCCATTTATGACTGAACACATATGTGACAGATCACCCTCAGTCCAAGTTGGAAGAAAATTTTAGGACTGTTTGGAATAATTAAGCCCACCCTCCCATAATTAATGAATTACTTTTAGAAATAAAAGCAATTTATTGTAAGTTATACAAAATTAAAATATGGAAATATATAATGTAGAAAGTGCAAGTCCTCGATATTTTTTATTTTCTTATTCATAAGATCTTGCTTATAACCCCAAATCCTTTCTCTGATACATTACTAACGTTTTCTCTCGGTTTATCTTTCATTTTATACATTGTGTTCCTCACTGTAGAGAATCTTGTTAAGTACTCATCTCCAGCTTTCAGGTTTTGGGGTTTTATTTTGTTTTTGATATTTTGGGATGGGATCTTGCCATGTAGTGAAGGCTGGTCTTGAACTCACTATGTTGCTCAGGCTGGCCTCAGACTTGCAGTGGTCCTCCTGCCTCAGCCTGCTGAGTGCTGGGATTACAGGTGGGCACCACCATACCTGGCCATTTTGTTTTGTATTGCAGGTTCTGCGGATTTTTTTTTTTTTTTATGTTTGATTTTTGGCCAGCCTTCCCAACCTCCTTGACAACTCTCTGTCCCCCACTTTTTTTTGGTTTTCTGAGACAGGATCTCACTGTGTAGCCAAGGCTGGCCTTGAACTCACAATCCTCTTTCCTCAGCTCCCTGATTGTTGGGACTATGAGCATGTGGTAGCATGCCCAGGTCATGCTTTGTTTTGTTTTTTGACACTGGCTATTGAACCCAGGGCCTTTGCCCTGGCCTCAGCCCTTTTGTATTTGGAGACAGGGTCTTGCTAAGTCTCTAAGCTGTCGAGGCTGGGCTGGAACTTGGGATTCTCCTGCGTCAGCCCCTCAATTATGGGTGTGTGCCATCATACCCAGCTTAGTTCTTAAATATCCATCATCCTGAAAGGTTTGTATGGAAGATGTATATAGCGATGGAACATTCCTGCCTCTACCATCAGTTGATCTGGCTCCATTATTAATTTATTCACCTTTTCCATTTATTTTTACTTTTTCCTAAGCTTGACTAATACCTTCTCATATATACAAAAATTCCTATGTAAGTGGACCTGTTGATGGCCTATTGATCTGCTGGTTTTACTGACTTTCTTCTCCTAATTCCTAATATAATCTTTAAATAAATCTTGATATTTTCTGTGGCAGGTCTCCTGTGGTTCGTCTTTTTTGATTAACTAAAAATAAAGCAAACTGTGTAAGTTATTTTGGAACATAAACTTCCAAGTAAACCTCAATATCAAATTATGAAATCTGTCTTACTGGCTTCTACCAAGTGATAAGAATCACAGTGACATTTTTATTAGATCCTTTTTAAATATTTGTATTAGTTTTGAGAGAACTGCTATTTTTACACTATGGAGCATTCTTGTGCAAGAATATCAAATAACTTTCTATATATTCTGGACTTACATTTTACATAGGGATCTTTTCATATTGTATTCAGATAGGTGTTCTATAATTATTCCTGAGGTTTATTCTTACTGTTTTGTAGTTTTTAATTACTCTCAAAAAATGAGCCAGGCACTGCTGCACATGCTTATACTCCCAGGTACTTGAAAGGCTGAGGCAGGAGGGTCTCTTGAGCTCAGGATTTTGAGTCTAGTTTGAGCAACAGGCTGAGATTTTGTTTTTATGGCTGAGGACATAGCTCAGTGGTACAGCCTTTGCCCAGTGTGTGTGCATTTATGAAGCCCTGGTCTCAATCCCTAGCACCATGAAGAGGGGAAAAGAAAAGGAAAAAGAACCTCTCATGGGTCAGTTCTTGTCAGACCGCTGCACCTTCTGTGGAGTGATAGCACATAGATACTATGTGTTATCTGTTTCTCTGTGTTTACACTGTATTCTTCTACTTTTGTGAATTCTAAGGGTTTTCCATGGTTTCTATTGGATTATCTAGGTGGACATGAGTGTTATATACAGATAAAAGCTATTGTTCCTTTCCTTCGGAATATTTTTGCTTCATGTTTTCTTGCTTTGTGTCTTGGTTCATAAAGACAACACAGAATAAAGTTCTGAAAACAAGAGTCTGATAATCTGACTTCTGACTCTGAGGAGGATATGTCTAATGCTTTGCACTTAATTATTTAATTCTGTATGTATAGATGCATTTTTTGAGACCGGGTCTCACTGTGTAGTATAGGCTGGACTTGAACTCACTTGTAGTGCTGGCTGGCCTTGAACTCATGGCGATCTGCCTGCCTCAGCCTCCTGAGAGCTGGGACTTCACCTTTAAATAGTTGGGTTTCTTATGGATGCTTTTTATAATTCCGATAAAGTGATTTCTGAATTTTACGAAATACTATATTTTTAAGCGTCTGTCTGGATATCATGTTTTTCCCTTAAAGCCTTCATTTCTGAGACATACACTTGGTAACGGCTTATTACTTTGTAAAAAATGTATACTAGGTAAATTCTCAACTTTGGTAAGATTTTTCTTTTTTTGAGATAGGGTCTTGCTGTGTAGTCTAGGCTGACCTTGAGTTCATGGTGATCCTCCTGCCTCAGCCTACTGAGTGCTGGGATTACAGGAGTGTACAACCATGCCCTGCTCAAGAATTTTTACATCTAGATATTTGCAACAATGTTATTCTATAATTCTTTTTTTGCTTGTGTTCATTAAAGTGTGTGTAAAGTGAGCATGGAGTAAAGCGTGTTGGAGCATGTGTAAAGCATGTAAAGTATGTAAAGTGCGTGTAAAGCGGGCACAGAGTGGGAGGAGAAGCAAGGGTTAGATCTCTTGTGCTCCAACCCCAGAGGGCAGGCGCGCGGTGTTACCTGTATCCCGATGGACAGACACCGGTTCTTCTTCAAGTCCTTCTTCCTGTCCTCGGCGGCGGTGGCGGCGGCGGTGGCCGCGGCGGCGCCGTTGCCCGTGTGCTGACTGGCGGGGCCGTGGATCTGGGCATTGGCGGCCTCGATGGCGGCGGTCAGCGCCTTCATACTGTCCAGGCTCTCGGTGGAGTTGCTCAGTCCGGACTGGCTGACAATGTCGCCGCGCTGGCCCTGCCCGTCCATGTAGGCGTCCTGCGCGGACTCTGTGCTGCTCTGCGCTGTGATAGAAATGAAAGGTTTCGTGGTGGTTCTGGGTGGGACGGGAGGTGGTGTCTTCTTATAGGTTGTAATGCAAGATGACACTGGAAGACACGAAAACAGAGACACTGTGACTCCGCGCCTGCCGGGGCTGGCCGCCCGGCCACGGGTACCCCGGCGCCCCGGACGAGGACGGGCCCCAGCGCCGCCGGGGCGCGGCGGGAGGCGGCACCCACAAAACCCGGCGCAGGAGGAGTGGAAAGCAGCGTCCCTGAAATGCGGCTCGGGAAAGGAGATTAGGGACCCGCGGGCCGCAGACAGGAGGACGCGGCAGGACCCCGAGGGTGTGGTTACAGGTTGGGAGCCGGAGGGCCCCCGCGCCCCGCAGAGCGGCTCCTGGAAGTCGCGCGAGGGGGAGTAAGCACCGGAGGAGGGGAGCGGGGGGCCGCTGCTCGGAGACGCCCGCGCCCACGCCCGCCTCTTCCTCTTTCCCCCTCTCCTTTTCCCTCCTTCCTTTTTCCGGATAGATGCGCACTACACAGCAGGTGACTAAAAATGCGGTGAATGTTCACATTTTTTAAAAGTATTGCAGTAAAAGACACATGGCCGCGAGCGCCGTGAAAATCCCCCCTGTAGCTTCGAGCACGCGCATCCCGTCGTTCTTGCCGCTTTCTGAAGCGGGTCTGGGCCCCCTGCCTGAGGGTCTGTAGGAGGTGCGACCAAAACCACGGTGAAAGCTGCGGCCGAGCGCCCTCCACGGGAAAGGCAGCTCGTGAAAACACGACGCTGTGTCCTCATCCACCGTATCCACCCAGCTGATCTGGCGCCCTGTGACTTCTGGCTCCTCCCCAAAGTCAAAAGGACCACAAAAGGGAACCGGTTTGAAGCAGTTCAGGACACCAAGGCAGCCAGGACGGCGCAGCTGAAGACACTGATGAAAGAGGACTCCAGAGCTGCTGCAGAAAGCCGCGAGAACCATGGGATAAGTGTGTTCCAAAGGGGGGCGGGGATTTGAGGTAGATTAATAGCAATGATTTCCACTGTAATTGAAAAACTTTAAATACTGTGCGCACCATACTTTTCAAGCACAGCTCTTAAACTTCTGCCCTGAACTTTGTTTTCTGAGCACAGCTATTCACTATGGGTTAGCAAGGCGTGGTCCCAATTCCAGGTGTGCGAGGCCGTCGGGACTGTGTGCACGGACGGCAGCATCCGGGCAACTGGAGCGTCAGGGCCCAGTCTGCACCTAGGGCTGCCGTGCCCTTGGCCACCCCGGTCCCCTCCTGTGGCACCCTGCGACCTCCCCTCCCACCTCCTCTCCCACCCTCTGACCAGGCCCCGGGGCCCTGGCCAGGCTGCACACCTCGGCTTCTTGTGGAGCTGAATTTAGAGAAGGAGGTCAAAGGAGAACGATCGTGTCTTGCCATGAGGAAAGAGCAATTCCGGGGACAGCTTTCGGGAGACTGGTTTCGGCCCCATGTGACGCCCTGGAGCTATTGTTCCCACTCCCCGTTCCTCCCCATTCACCGCCCTGGGGTCGCATCTGAGCAGCCGGAAGTGGCCGTGTGGTGAGCCGCACAGTGAGCGATAAACAAGAGGATTACTGGGCTATCCTCTGGCCCCAGGGGTATGCAGTGATTTCTTTAACCCTCCTAGCTGTTGAGCTGCCCGCTGCCCGGGGTGTCTGAGAACCAAAGGAAGAAATCATGCGCATTTGCTTCGGCTGTCTTGCTTCCGTTACAGCACACTGCCTGAAACCTACTGCTTTCCCCAGCGCTGGGGACTGAGTCCAGGCCCTTCACGCTGAGCTACGTCCCCAGCCCTTTTTAAAATTTTGAGTCAGGGTCTTGCTAAATTGCCCAGCCTTTGCTTGAATGTGGGCTCCTCCTGCCTCAGCCTACCAGAGTGCGGGGATTGCAGGTGTGCACCGCCGTGCCCAGCTAGCACGTCTGTCACTTTGGAACACGGCATGCAGCACACAGGACCCCCTTGCGTGTTCCTGCTAAGGTGCCAGGCGGGGATGTCACCTGTGAAGACCGCAGTGTCCTCCGAGGGCCAGTGGCAGCGCAGCGCGGGCTCTGGCTCCTCTACCGGCCCGCAGGTGGGGCTGCGGGGAAGTCGCGTCAGCACGGGCAGGGGCGCTGAGAGCTGCCTCCCCACACCGCCACAGCGCGGCCTCCTCCTGGTCCCCAGCGTGCGCTCAGGGCGCCGTCTGCGCCGTGGCAGCAGGCAGGGGCGGAGCAGTCAGGACCCGGACCGCGCTCTCTTCCAGTCTGGTGGGGACAGACCCCTGGGCCTCGGGCCAGGCCTGCAGCGCGGTCTCTCTGCTGTGTGCAGCGGCTCTTGGGACATTCCGGCCCCTCGGATTCCAGGAAGGAGCTCACACTTCTGGCCTCAAATTCTGATCTTCGGGAGCAGCTATTTACCTCCCGGTGCCAGCTCTCGCGGTTTCCTCATTCGGTGTGAAGAGCCAGACCCGGACCGCGCATGTGCCCTACACTGTCCTGTGACTGTGGGACAAACTCCTGCCGGGCTGCGGGGTGCAGGGCAGGTTCGTCCCGATGTCTGCAGAGTCAGGGACAGGCCTGGCTCGCCTCGGCAGTTCCTGCAGTGTTAGGCTGCACAGGGAGTGGGCGTGGTCAGGGTTTGTGATTGCCAGCCCCGGTGTGCCGGTCATGCTTGGAATCTTGGCACTGGGGAGGCTGAAGCAGGAGGGCCACTTGGAGTTCAAGGCCCCGCTGGGCTACATAGTGAGAGCCTATCTCAATGCCCCCCCCCCCCAAAAAAAAAGGAGGAAGAAGAGGAAGAGTCAGGACTGTAGAACTGTGGGGGACCTCATGAAGGAGAGAGTTCTGCTTCCCCAGAGCCTAGCTGGGTGTGGTGGCACACGCCTGTATTCCAGCACTTGGGAAGCTGAGGCAGAAAGATCTTCAAGTCTGGGCCAACCTGGGCTACATAGGGAGATGCTGCCTCAAAAAAACCACCAACGAGAAAAGAGTTGTGAGGAAGATTCCACTGTCCCTACAGGAGCAAGGGAAACAGAGGCTCAGCTCAGATGGAGGACGACCCCAAGTCACACGGCGGAAAAGTCAGGCTCAGAGCTCCATGCCCATCGCTGTGCCCTAAACCCTGTACCAGAGTCCCCCGCACAGCTCCCTGGAGCCTCCTGGTCACCCAGCCTAATGTCTCCCATGGGGATCCCAGCACTCGGGAGGCTGAGGCAGGAGGCTCGTTTCAAATTTGAGACCAGCCTGGGCTACAAAGTGAGCTCAAGGCCAGCCTGAACTGCACAGCGAGACCCTGTCTCAAAAAGACCAAAAAAAAAAAAAAAAAAAAAAAAAAGAGAGAGACTGGGGCTGCATCTCTGTGGAAGGCTTTGCATTCAAGCTTCAGTACCAGGGGGAAAAAGTGCAGAGAGAAACTCAACAAAACACACAGGGAAAAATCACTACCTTGTTTCAAAATATTTCCAGCTGTCTACATGCAGGCCACCCAGGGTGTGCGGTCGGAGGAGGAGGTGGGGATGGCTCGGCCACCTCCGAGGGCGTCTGCTGTGCAGGCAGGCGGGGACAGACCCGGCCAGCAGAGCGCCCCCCGCGGTGACCACAGGGAGAAAGCAGCTGTGTGCGGGCAGGGCAGGCAGTGGGGGGCGACGCCTCGCAGCCGCAGCTCCTGGCCAGCCGTAGCTGCTGCAGCACAGACGCTGCCTAATGCCAGCTCCTCCCAGGCCTGGGCACGTCTGAGCTGAGATCTTTGAGGCGATAGTGCAGCCTCTCCTGATCAAACCCAGCCTTGTTCTCTGAGGAGGCAGCAAGAATGAAAAGGTGTGTTTCAAGAGTTGCAACTTTTTTTTAAAGAGGCACCCGAGTTGTTTCAACAAGTTGGTACAAAACTTGGGCTTCCTGAAGGCACAGGGGCTGTTGCCCAGTGAGTGCACTGCACAAACATCCAGGGAGGGCGGGACCAAGGTAGAGTCATTAGAAAGAAAAGTCAGCCAGCCCGGCCCGGCCGGCACGGAAGTCCTGTGGATGCAGGCGCTGCTAGGGTAGCACGGGGGTGGGGGTGGGGGTGGGGGAGGCTGTGTCTCGGCCAGTTTAGGCTCTGCAGTGCAAAGGGCAGCACTGCAGGGGACAGGCCGGTGCAGCCCCTCACCCTCCTCCCACAGCCACGGAGCAGTCTTGGGCCTGCTGGTCCTGACTGGAATAACACCAGGCTTACGCTGGACAGGATTTCCAAAAGACAGAGTGACCAGCGCTTTAATGAAGCACCCTAACAGAAATGCTTTGCTAGCTGCCAAGGAAAATCTCTGGGTTGGAGCTGAGGAATTTTTTTAAAAAGCAGCGATTAGGACCTGGGTGTGGTGGTGCATACCCATAATCCGCACACTCTGGGAGGCTGAGGCAGGAGGATGGCAAGTTCAAGGTCAGCCTGGCCAACCTGGTGAAACCCTGTGTCAAATTTTAAAAAGGACTGGGGATTCAGCTGAGTGGGAAGGCGCTGAGTTCAGCGCCAGGAGGGGGAGTGTCGAGGTAAAAGCACCAGCTGCCATGTCTGCACATCCTGGTCACAGCTAAAGATCAGGCTGATGACGGGATTAATATTGGGGCTTCCTGCGGCCCACCTCGGGCCTTGAACTCATGTGTAGCCCCGGTTGGCCTCCAAATCCCGGCAATCCTGCCTCAGCCTCCCACATGCTGGGATTCCAGGAGTGCACCACCAATGCAGCACATTTTTCATTTTTATCTGGATGTGCGTTTTGGCTGCAGACCCGGTGGGGGCCTGGAGTGTTTCTAATTCCCCCTGCTGGCTTCCAGGCAGGCTGCCTGCCAGGCCTGCCTCATGTCCTGGGAGCTCTGGGCCCTGCCGCCGGTCCTGGTGGATGCCGGGCAGTGGCGGTCACCCGGCCACCCCTCCGACCTGCTTCTAGCCTAGAGTTCCGATCGAAGTAACCTACCCCGAGGCAAGCTCCCTGGTTAAGTGAATTAGAGCACCCAAGTCATCAGAGGGCTCCAGGCGGGGTCAGGTCTCCACCTTGTAATGTGGGCGCCTTTTCCCTTTTCTCTGCAGTGCACCGGGGCCTCCCTTCCCCCGGGCAAGTGCTCTGGCACCCAGCCCCTCGTGTGGGCTTTTACAGGCGTCTGACAAGAAGTAAAGTACTAGAAATGAGGATTTCCACATGTGAAACCAGAATTTGGCTGCCTGAAATCAGTAACTCCAAAGGAGTATCTTGACAGTGGACATTTAGCTGGTGGATCCACCACGTGAACACTAAATCTAGATTACAAACCAGAAACCAGCGTGCTGTGCACTTGTCACCCCCGCGCTGTGGGAGGCTGAGGCAGGAGGACTGCAAGTTCAAGCCCAGCCTGGATGATTCAGTGACTTAGTGAGACTCTGTCTACATAAAAAATTTTAAAAAGGCTAGGGAAGCGGTTCAGTGTGAAGGCCCCGGGTTCATCCCCAGTACTGCAAAGAACACCAAACAAAGACAGAAAGGACCATGGTCTCCCGGGAGCTCGGGTAAATCGACGCCTTCCTGGGTTCGGGGCGCAGATGTCATGCGTTCGGCTTCCGGGCGGGAACTGGATCTCCACCTCAGGCTCTTCCCCGGCCGCTCCCGCAGGTGTCCCACCGGCACACAGGTGGCGGCCGCAGCTCACCCAGGGACTGAGTTTCCCCTGTCCCGTTACCTTACGAAGCGCTTTCTGCCTGAGTCACACACGGCGCTCCCTCTCCGGCCCTGAGATACTTTCCCAGCGTGTGGAACTGTGTGTGTTTGCAAACCGGTTCCCCGGCCAGGCCCGAGCGCCTTCCTGACTGAGCGGACCATGCACGGGACAGGACGGAAAGTGGAGACCAGGTCGGCGCTGCAGTCGCCTTGGCTTCCTGTTTGGGCAGCTGCTCCCCGAGCCCGAGGCCGGGGCAGGGCTGGGCAGACCCGGGCTTGTCGAGAGACCTCAGCTGGGCGGCTGTGCCAGCAGCCGGAAGATCTGTCTTTGAAGTTTCCATCCGCCAGCTCTCCTCTCGTGTCAGAGTAACTGCTGAGCAACTTGATCCTCTGTTCTCCGTCAGCTGACGTTTTCCTGACCAGGCTGAGGGAAAGGAATTGACTGTGGGTGTGACAATCAGGTCAGAGCTGGCGCGGCGCACACCTGTGATCCCAGCATGATGGGAGGCTGAGGCAGGAGGAGTGCAGGTTCGAGCCCGCCTGGGCAACTTAGTGCTGTAGTGAGACTGTCTCAAAATAAAAAATACATAAAAGGACATAGCTGGATGTGATGGCCCGGGCCCACCCTCAAGCCTGGGGGCCGCGGTGGGGAGCAGTCAGGCCTTGCTGTCTTGCTCTCGGGCGTCAGTGCGCTGCCCAGCACGTGCGTCTCACGGCGCTGCTGTGGTAAACCCCTGCTCCTGGACAGCGGCGAAGGACTCAGGAAGGAGAGGGCGGATGGGGTGAACCCACCGGCGCAGCTGCTGCTGGTGACCCTGGACGTCCCAGGACGTGCACCGCGGATTCCACCAGCTGCGAACCCCAGCCCTCGACCAAGAGTCGCAGTGTGCTGCGTGTGTCCGGACCCTTGTCCTCCCTGCCTGGCCAGCTCGGCAGAGCAGCTGCTCCCCCCGCGCCTGCATCTGTCGGGGACGGAGGGGACGGAGAGGATGTCGAGTGTGCGCACGATTCCATGCGGCTCCCGGGCACGGACTCAAGGACCTGCCGACTTCGGTGTCCCTGGGGTGGGGTCCCGCACTCGATCCCCCCCGGACACGAAGGGACAACCGTGTCACCTCTTGTCCCCCGTGCCTGCCCACTCCCAAGGCTCGGTGCTGGGCAGGTGCTAGCCAAGAGCCTTAGGACTGGCTAATTCTTGTTCTGTTTGTTTCTTTAAGACAGGGTCTACCTACGCAGTCTGGGCTGGCCTTGAACTCACGATAGTCATCCTGTCTCAGCCTCCCAAGGGCTGAGCTCACAGGTGCACACTGCCACACCTGAGAATCACTGTCACCTGCCCAGTGGGACTTGGACAAAGCCAGAGTAGAATCCACCACCAGCCAGGGGCAGTACCTGGGCCCCACTCTGAGGCTACATAGATAGTAAAGTGTTGCTCTTTGGGAGTGGGGTGTGAGGTCCACGTGCCCATCTGCCAGCCTCAGAGGGGTGAGAGGCTGTGTACGAACCAGGCTGCAAAGCCCTTCAGTGATGTGTACCTGTAATCCTAGCACTCTGGGAGGCTGAGGCAGGAGGATCGCAAGCTCAAGCAATTTAGGGAAACCCTGTTTTAAAATTTTAAAAAATGTGGAAAAGGGTTGGGGTGTAGCTAAGTATGAAGACTCTGAGTTCAATCCTCAGTATGCAAGATAAATAAATAAATAAATAAAGATTAATTAAAGTGAAATAAAAATAAACGCAGGAGCAGTTTCTTTTCCTTTCACAATATTTATAATTAGGACGGGGGAAAGGAGAGAGGAAGGAAGGAATATATATATATATATTATATATATATATACATTATATATGATAGCTAAGATAATTGTACTACTAATTTCTATTAGTTCGTTGAAAGGAATAGTTAGTGCTTATATCATTTAATCAATCTTACATGCCTATATTTGGGAATCTGAGCAACTATTTTGAAGGTAACAATATGCAATATAATAGCCACTGTTAATTTCCTATCACCTTGTTTTGAAATTCTGTATCATTTTTATTCTTTTAAAAATTATCTTTAAAATTAAAAAAAAAACCAATACACTCAGGATCCCCGAGTGTCCCGGGGCGCCGCCCGCTGAGTCTTGGCGCAGGGCGAGGTGACCGAGCAGCAGCCCCTGCCCTGCTCCCGGAGGAGAGGGAGCTGCTGGTCTCCTGCAGCCGCCAAGGCCGCCCCGCCCCAAGCCAGTGCTCCGAGCCGGCCAACCGAAAGCCCCGAACCTGGGCAAACAGGATGTGCGCGGCGGGAAGAAAGAGCGCGCCCGGCATTCCTTCCTGCGGGTTTGGGCCTGATGAGGATATTACCCGGGTCTTCAGACCCTGGCTTCACAGCGAGCTCCTAATTACCCAGCCCCTTCCTCCCTCCTGAGCTCCCTTGAAGAGGACCCCTTCCCCGGGAGCTCCTTACAGAGCTGACCTGGCAGGACCAGCACCTGCACACACACAGCTATAATCCCAGCACCCAGGAGGCTGAGTCAGGGCAATCACTGCAAGTTTGAGGCTGGCCTGGACTAAGTAGTGAGGGCCTGTCTTAAAACACAACCAAAAAAAACCCCACAAACAAATCCCACAGGACACCGTCGTAAAGCCATGTCACAGCTGGGGAAGAACTTGTCCTGCGTCCCCTGGGGCTCTGTCCCACCTCTGGACTCAGGGTCCTCCCCCAGGCTGCATTTACACCGCCCCCGCCCGGCTGGCTGGGGCTTCAGCGGGAGCCGAAGTAAGAGAAGGCTACAGACCTTCTGGAGTCACAGCTAAGGCGGTCTGCGTGCTGTCCCCGCCCCTCTTCCTCGCCCTCCCTGCCCGGCACTGGGCTCCTTCGGTCCCTGGATGCCCAGCCCAGGGGGCAGCGAGGGTTCGGTCCCTCACAGGCAGATGCCGAGGGGCTAGAGGCCCAGCTCCCCGCGTGCAGTGGGCGGGGACCCGGTTCTCCCCGCGGGCGCCTGCGGGGGCCTCGAGCGGGGCAGCCGGGCTGGAGTGAGCTGGGGCCTCTGGGCCGGAGGTGCTGGCGTCCGGCTGAGGGACGGAGACCGACAGCAGCCGTGCGGCTCTGAGTTACTCCTCTCATGGCACAGAAAAATCCCTGCCACCCGAAGTTGGAAGGGGAAGGGCTTATTCAGCTCACAGGTGGTGGAGGCTCCAGTCCGTCACCGGCTGGCTCCAGACATTTCTAACGCTAAGGGTCAAGCGCTTTACTGAGTAACCGCTTGGGGAAAGTGAATCTCCATAAACCCCGCTGAGCCCCTAAGCCCCGGGTGCTACGCTGTCCCTCAGGCTCTGTGTTTGTGTCCTGGCTCAGTTGTCAGCATCCTGCCGTGGACTGGGCCTGGGTGGCGGCTGCCACTGCCCTGTCCCCACTGCTCCGCCGCTGGCTTGGGCCAGGTCCAGGAGGAGCAGAACAGGATGCAGCCGGAGTTACAGCCCACTGCGGGTGCTGACACCCTTGGGCGGTCCCGTTCCATGAAGGTGAGCTGTCATCAGCACCCGGCTGACAGGGAATCAAGCCATGAAATCTCCTTTGTAAATTTGAGTGGCTGAGTCACCGCTCGCTGGCTGGAAGGAAGTTCCAGGTGCAGCCTTGACTCACCCGGGCTCTGAGCTCGGCAGCGGGAGCAGAAGTTTCCCGCTCAGCAGCAACAAACCTGCTTTGAACGCCCGCCCAGGAAGGGCTCCTCTCTCTGGCATCACCCAGGGCGCCCTGCTGACATCTTACGGACTGCCCCTGAGACTGGGGGGCTGTGACAGGGCAGGAAAGGGGTCCAGAGATCCCTGTGGTCCTGGGAGAATGAGCTCATGGCATTTGCATTTTTGGGGCGTGTCCAGGCGCACACCTGCAAGGGGCCTGAGCCAGCGAGGCGAATTCTAAGTCTGACGGCAGCGCCTCACGGGGTGAGTCCGAGATGACCTGCGGGTCCCCCCTGGACAGCCCCGCTCCCACGTGAGTCCACCCGGACTGCTGAGCTCCTCCTGGTCCCAGCCACGTTTCCATTCCTCTTTTAATAAAACTTGAATATTTCCTGGAGTTACAAAATATTGTTCTTTGGATATGCCTGTGATTAAGGAAAACTCTTGCTTACCACAAAACTTTCAGAAGCCTTTAAAAACACCACTCAGGATCTTTCCCTTCCTAACAGATCTGGACCAGTGCAGCCCGGTGCCCAGGTGCAGGCGCAGTCCTGGGCCCGGTCGTCCACTCCTCGGGGTCTGTCTCTCCTCTTGCTCTAGCCCTCTGGGATCATTCATGTCCTTTTTGCCTTTTTGTCCCTTTCCGCTTCCCGTCCCTCGGTCTTGCTATTTATGATCTGCCCTCTGCTGAGTCACAGCTGCTTCCTAACTCACGGTTTGTTCAACTCCTAGTGTGACTTAATGTTTTTTCCTAGTTGTGCTTTATTAATCAGTGTTGAAACCAACCGAGGTGACTCACACAGCTTCACCATTTAGAAGATGATTCAATGGAAAACACCGGAGAGCATCAGGCTGAGGAAAAGTACAAAGTGTTGTGGAAATACAGTGAGTGCTGAAATTAAAAAATTCGTTACAGACAGGCATGGTGGCACATGCCTGTCATCCCAGCACTTGGGAGGCTGAGGCAGGAGGATCGATGAGAGTTCAAGACCAGACTGGGCTACCTAGTGAATTCAAGGCCGGCCTGAGCTACGTAGCAAGACCCTGTATCACCCTTCGCTCAGTCTATTACAGTAAAAACACATAGCCGTGAATCACCCTCAAAACACTTCCCTCATTTCCAACACATTTTATCCCATCATTCTTGCCACTTTTGGGAGCAGTTCTGGAAGTGCTCTTTCCTGAGTATCTTTAAGAGGTGTGGTAAAAAATATGCCATCCCACAGGAAGGCAGCTCCTAAGAACATGACGCTGGGTCCTCACCCACCTTCCCCACTGGACCTGGCACCCTGGGACTTCTGGCTCTTCCTCAAAGTCCAAATGGGCATGAAAGGGAAATGCCTTCAGTCATTCAGGACATCAAGGCAGCCATGACAGCAGAAGTAAAAACACTCAGGAAAGAGGACTCCAGAGCTGCTGCAGAAGGCAGCAAGAACAGTGGGATGAGTGCGCTCCAAGGGAGAGGGAGGATTTGAGGAGGATTCGTGGCAATGTGTCTTTTACTGTAATAAAATCATTTTTTAAAAGCTTTAATCATGCACCGTACTTTGCACCACACCTTGTATTGTATTGTGAAGCTCGTGTGTGTGTGTGTGTGTGTGTGTGTGTGTGTATGAGTGTGCGCGCAGCCAGGTCTGTGTACACTGCTGGCAACGGGGTGAAACACCCCATTGTCAGCAAGCTTGGAGAGATGCTCCTCCCCTTGGCCTCCCCGGGGGCGTGTCCTGCAAGCTGTGGTACACACTTGGGGCAGGAGCCAAGGACAGGGGACAGGTCCGGGTCTGCCTGGGGACAGTGCCCCTGGAACCTTAGGACTCTGGCTCCGCTGGCTCTGCCCACCTTCCGGGCCCCCAGTCTCCATCCACCTCTTTCTGTGCTCCTCTGTCCAGCAGCGTCTGGCTTTGCACCGCGAGCCCCTCCCTCGCAGTCCTTCCCTGTCTTGTGTCGCCCCCTGCAGGCAGACACCGGCTCGTCCCATGGGCCTCCCACAGTTTTCGATCGAGCATTGTGCTTTTCATCTGGCTCACAGCCTCGTTTTCTTCCCAACTCCACGCACCATGAGCTCCAGGTGGGATCTCAGTAGGGCTTCCTGGGTGAGCACTCGGCATTTTACACGCCAGCATGGACGGGGATTACGAAGGACCTCAGTTCAGCCGGGTCAGGCAGGACCTCAGGAAGCCGAGGCAGGAGGATCTCAAATTAGAAGCCAGGCTGTTTCAACCCACAAGCCTCATCTCTACTTCTCAAAGCTTTAGTTTTCATCCTTTGCACTTCCTGCCTCCAGTTTATTTGCTTTTCTAATTCACCGGACTCCTCTCACAGTCTGGGAAAAGCTTCCTGACTTCCGGATTATGGAGGATACAGCAATCAAGATAGGTAGAAAGGAGGTGAGGAAATCAGGATTTTAAGACTTGTTTTAAGAAAAACTGCAGGGGCTGGGGATATAGCTCAGGGACACAGAGCCTGCTTGGCAAATGCAAGGTCCTGAGTTTGATTCCCAGTACCCCCCCCCAAAAAAAACCCCCAAAAACCCCTGCAGCTTCGGGACACAAAAGTCACTCAAGCCTCTTTCCCTTCCAGGAGACTCACCTCCTCCCGCAATTCCCAAGTGTGTGAGAGACTCAGGAGCCTGTGGCGTGGGCTCTGGCCCCAGCTCTCACTGTATCCGACCCTTGCTCCTGGGACTTCTTGCTCAGGAAGCCGCATCATTAGCGGGCAGCGGATGTCAGCCTCAAGTCAAATAATGGTTTGGATTTGGATGCGGTCCCAGGGGGGCAGGAGGAGGAAACACCCTCCAGATCACCATCCCGAAGACACCCTGCGCCCCAAAGCTATCCTTAGCTCTGCGTTGCCTTTCTCCGAGCGCCTGTGAGCCACTCTTCAGCATGTTCATTGGGGTGTTTGAGACACAGTCTTGCTGTGTAGTGCAGGCTGGCCTTGAACTCACTATGTAGTTCAGATTGGCCTCGAATTTGTGGTGATCCTCCTGCCTCAGCCTCCCAAGTACTGGGATTACAGGCGTGTGCCACTGTGCTCTGCAAAAACCCTGCTCTTTAAAAAGGAAATGCAGCAGGACTGGGGATTTAGCTCAGCGGCACAGTGTCTGCCTGGCAAGCACAACGTCGTGAGTTTGATTCCCAGCACTGGAAACCCCCGCCCCCCCCCAAAAAAGGAAATGCAACAAACAGAAATACCCTCCTTTTGTGATGAGGGCAGGAGCAGGAGAGGGAAAATGAAAAAGAAAAAGAAGTCACAAAAACTCACAGTGGTGCTATAGTCTGCAAATCTCTTACCGGAAATGCTGGCCACAAAAGTGCTTCAAATTTAAAGTTTTTTGGACTTGTGAATATTTGTGTGGATGTCACCGGCTGGATTCACCCGACACCAAAGCCCACAGCGCTACATACTTTAAAATCTAAAATTAAAGTTATTGAAGTTCCTTATGTTTCCTAATACACTATATTGATAAGCCAGGGCAAGCATCTGCCTTATGTGCTACTCTTTGACTCCCACCTGGTCAGCAGTAGTTTGCCTTTCACAGAATGTTATGGAATGAAGAGACTGAAATTGAAGTCTGTTCTTTCAAAGAAGTCACGTAGTTCTGTAACTCTGCACGAAACTACCACGTGCACCAAAGACCCAGCTTAGGTACCAGCCAGTTATGATCAGAGGTGAGTGTGCAGGACCACCCCAGCGACTGTCCTTCAAAGAGGAGCAGTTTTCTCCACTTTGGCTGAGCCTGGCCCTACTTCCATGTATTGATGTGTACAGAGCTGGCTGGGGCTTTTCCTGACGCCTGCACTTGGCTTTAAGCAATGCCTGTTGGTCTAGCCGATGTGGCAGGCATTCCCCCGGCCCCCTGGGTCCCCTGTTGTTCCCAAGAGTGAGCCAGGATGAGGCAGGATGCAGAGCCAGAGCTCCACGCTGTCAGTTGGGATCGAGCATTGAGGTAGATGCTCTGACTTCCTGGGGCTTGAAAGATTACACATCACAGCTGAAGCACAGACCCCAAAACATTAGACACTATCTCAGTTGTGTCATGCACATGACTCTTTCTGCATATCCTTCTCTCTGCATATGGCAGAGGTGAGTTCAGGCCTCCTACCTAGCCCAGCTCACGGCACTCACCTACTTTCTGTGATTCTCACAGTCACTCATCCTCAAGCCACTCCCTTCTTCATGAATGAATAAAACCTGGGTTTGGCCTTGGGTGGAGGCCTTTGTTCCGGATGGACTGAGGACCCATTGGCTCCCCATAACTACAAATACGCCTTAGTGTCTTTATTCTCACCATGGGTTGCATTGGAAGTGGTAGATTGGAATTAACCCATTAGGATTCCAATAACTTTTCATGGGATTACAAGTATAAACTTCCTGGGCCGTGGTGAGGACTGGGAAGGGCTTTCTATAGCTGAGATTATGAAAAAAATCTTTATTCTTTGGATTTGCTGAATTTTCCAGTTAAGAAAAAAGAACATGCATTCTTTTTTTTTTTTTTCTCTTAGTGCTCGTTTGAACTCAGGTC